GCTTTGTTCCTATTGCTGGGTTAGGCAGATTATGAATGGGAGGACATATCGTAGTGTTCTTCTTATTGACTCAGTGTCCCGTTGTTTTCGGTATCTAAGCCATGTCCTACTTGTTCCGTGTCTTTCATGGTGATATCTTTGGAGATCATGTGGTGTCCTGTGCTGGTATTATGGGCATTAAGCCGGTAGAGAGGTTGATATCGATTTGGTTGATGGGCATGGTGGACCCCTTCGTCCTGCGGATTTGTTTCTTTATTCCAGGGACAGGGGGCGAGACGTGTGTGTAGATCTGACTCGATCTTCGCCTTTGACTCAGCCTAGGATGAATGTTTTTATCCCCGGACGAGTTGTTGCTGATGCGGCTCAGCGAAAATGTGTCAAGTATCGAGACTTGTGCATGGCAGCTGGTTAGAGTTTCATGCTCTTCTTCTTTTCTTCGCTAGGAGAGTTGGATAGTGAGGTCGTGGCTTTACTCAAGCGGATCCAGAAATTCTCCGTGTCACAAGATGTGGGGTCTTGAGCAGCTGCGTACATTTTTACTCGATTTAGCTTTGCTATAGCTAAGGAGTGGGAGCCCAAATTGTATCTCGGCTGCCCACTAATTTTTTGTAGACCTTTGTTTGTTCTGTTTTCCAATATTATATATGGGTTTATTGAATTAAAAAAATAACATAATATTAAGGTTATTATTATTATTATTATTATTATTACTTCTAACCTATGGTTGAACCGTTCGTATGTAACCGTCGATCTAACCGTTCAGTCGAACAGCCTAGACCCAAATATTAGGGTGCTACAGAACGAACAACACGATTTGGGATAGGAATCGTCGTTCCTGTATCCCAAGAAAATTGTGGTAAACATGGACTCAGCTGCCGAACTGGTTTAGATTGAGATTTTTATCGGGTATCGGGTATCAAGGAACTATATGATTATAAATTAGGTTTGATAAAAACGGGCCAAAACTTGAATTCAGCCTGTTTGACCGACCCATGCCAAACTCTAATTATTCTTTACCTTTAAACTTTCTATTTGAAAATAAAAAATAGTAAAAGAAAGAGATGATTGCAATTCGCCATTTGCACATCACTGATTCGGGAACAGAACCATAGAAATTCAAAAGAAAACTAAAAATGTTTAGGATCGTTTTAATGTTAAAAATAATCAAATGGATCTTTCTGTTTAGTATTTTACTAATAAATACCAAACGATTCCCTGTAAAAATACACTATAACCTAATCATGATGATATCAAATAATTACATAATATATATTTGAAATTATAAAAAATTGGATTAATTGGGTTGGTCGAGGTTGAACCATTTAATAACTTTAAAATACATTATATTTTAGCCACTAAGATATAAAATAATCGCATAATATATGTTATGCAAGAGAAAATAGCTTGTTTTATGATGGCAAACCCATGATGTTCATTTGTTTTACTTGATGGTCAAATCCCGTATAGGTCAGGCCCATTCAACTCTTTTATTTTACGGTTAGTTGTTAGCCCATTAGAATCCATACATTAGTTTATTGTTAAATTTTGTTCTTTATAGTAATAAAAAGGAGTATTGTTTTTGCCCTTTCATATATATCTTACCAATACCGGGAAATAAAATGGCTTAAAGAAACCTGTTCTATTTTTGTGGGTCTCAACAATTCCTAGGCCCGTCTAAATCCGCATGTTTACGGTAAGTTGGCCCGTTCCACACAGGGATGGAGCCATGATTTTTCGGTAGGAGGGACCAATAATTTTTTTTATTGCAACAAAATAATAGAAAATATCACTTCCGTGAAATCTAAACATCATGATATATCTCGTGCGAAGTATTTCATCATGCAACATATTAGTTTTAGGGTTTGATTATACCGTAAGAACAAAATAAGAATCCGATAAAAATTCACTTAGAAATTACATAAAGTTAACCTTAAAATGTAAAATAAACTGAAAAAAATGGACATAACAAAGCTTGAAATTATATTTAAAAAAATAAGATAAAATTCACCTTAAAATGTGAAATAAATGAAAAATGAACATAAAATAAACTAAAAATGCACAACAAAGACTGAAAGTACATTAAAAAAAAAAAGAATACATAGAAAAAAGAGTTTGTCCATGACCATATATATAGTGCAGAAAGTACATAGAAAAAAGAGTTTGACCATGACCATATATATAGTGCTGAAAGTACATAGAAAAAAGAATACAGATGTGGCCATCGAACCCTGGCAAATTCTATGGGCCGGCAACTACAATCTCTGATTTAACCACTAGGCCACTAAGGTAAGACCGTAAGAGTTTGGCCACGACCATACTTATAATCCTAAATTTTAAAGGGGTCATGGCCCCTCCTCTCTTCGTCCCTGGTTCCACAGAGAAAATAGGGAAAAATTGACATAGAAAAAAGAGTTTGTCCATGACCATATATATAGTGCAGAAAGTACATAGAAAAAAGAGTTTGACCACGACCATATATATAGTGCTGAAAGTACATAGAAAAAAGAATACAGATGTGGCCATCGAACCCTGGCAAATTCTATGGGCCGGCAACTACAATCTCTGATTTAACCACTAGGCCATTAAGGTAAGACCGTAAGAAGTTAATATTAACAAATCTTCAGTCTTCTTTAGTGCTAATGTCCCGGGCGATGTCAAAGATCATATAATCGCGAGCATTGGCTTCGCTTCCTCGAATTGCCACTCAAAGTATCTTGGAGTCCCGACGGAGTGGAGAAATTCGAAGAAGGAAACTTTTAACTTCCTCATTCAAAGGATGGAGAAAATGGGGGAAGCATGGAAAAGTCTCCTTCTCTCTCATGGGGGAAAAGAAGTCCTTCTGAAAGCGGTTATTCAAGCTATTCCAGCTTATATCATGTTCTTGTTCTATCTCCCAAAAGCCCTCACCAAGAAAATGGACTCTCTCCTTAGTAACTTCTTCTGGTCAGGGTCTATGCAAAAGAGTAGCCTCCATTGGTGTAGGAAAGAGATTCTTTGACTGCCTAAGTCAGAGGGAGGATTGGGCTTCAGGAGCTTCAATGATTTTAACCTTGCCTTGCTAGCTAAGCAGGCCTGGCGCCTCCTCACGAGCCCTGATTCACTGTGGAGCAGGCTCCTTAAAGGGTTGTACTTCCCCAGAGGTGATTTTCTTAATGCTAAAAAGGGAAGCAGAGCTTCGTGGATTTGGGCTAGCCTCTGGGAGGCAAAGAAGGTGATTGGTTTGGGTGCAATTAGAGTGATTGGGTCAGGTGAAGACTCGTGGGTCGATCAAGACCCATGGATTCCCTTTTTGGATGGTTTTACGCTCAGGACTGGCCCTCAGAATCATCGGAAGGTCAACGAGTGGATTGACCCGGGAGAAAGGAAGTGGAAGACGGATGTTATACAGGGACATGTCTCTGGCTCAGAACTCGAAGCTATTCTCAGGATACCCATTGGGGAGGAAGGAGCAGATGACTTTTGGGCATGGAACTCCAATGATGAGGGAAGGTTTACGGTGAGATCCGCGTACCATATGATTCACAGATCAAACACCATAGCTCAACCAAGCGGGAATACTGATAAATGGAAGTGGATTTGGAGCCTTCACCTCCCCCCGAAGTTGAAATTCTTTGTTTGGAGATGCTCCAGGAACGGGTTAGCAACGAAAGAGAGACTGCTCCAGAGGAAGTGTGCTCCCAACTCTTCGTGTCAGGTGTGTCACTACCCCGTGGAAACGGTTAATCATTGCCTGTTCCAATGCCCTCATGCCAAGGAGGCATGGAATGCGTTGTTCCCATCCCTTCCTTTACCCCCTCAAGGAACCTTGTTCTTTGACTGGTTCTGCTCCCTTAAAGATGTTGTCCAACAAAGCTCCTTGATCCATATTGTCTTCCTTTGTTGGAATATTTGGAAGGCAAGGAACGAATGCTCTTTCAAAGGTAGAGTCCCGTGGACTCCGAATGTGTGTCAACTTACCTATAAAGAGCTCACTGAATGGAATTCGTGCCCGAGGTCCCCACCTCCCCTGCCTTCCCTCCCCACTCAGCTTAGGGGAACCCAGTCTCATACGAATCCACCGCCAAGTAATCAGTCTTTGATGATTCACTGTGATGGGTCGTTCATTAGCGACTCCCAGCCGGCGGCTTATGGTGTTGTGGTTGTTAACCACCATGGACAAGTGTGTGATGGGAGAGCTGAGGATCTTCTTTGTTCCACCCCAATTGAAGCAGAAACTAAGGCCCTTCTCGAAGGAGTGAAATTAGCGCAAGAATATGGATCCGAGTGTACGGTTCAATCCGACTGTCAGGTGCTGGTTAAAGCTTTGGATAACGATCGATCTCGATGGCCTTGGAGGTGTGCAGCCTGAATCGGTTCGATTGTTTCTATCCTTCGGACGAACCCTCTCATCAAAATCAAAGAAGTGCCCAGAACACTTAATGTCAGAGCAGATTGGGTTGCTCGTTCTAAAGCTAGAGCGTCTCTTCCTGATGATTGGATTAATATTCTTGATCTCATTTCTGATCTTCTTTAAAGAATGTAACCGAGTTTCTCGTCTTTCATTTGATTGGTGGAATAAAAGTTGGTAACCTTTGTCAAAAAAAAATATTCTACCCTTCCTACAAACGCTTCTAGAGCAGAGAATTTGAAATGTGGGAGGGATTTTTCCTTCATGCTATATTATGTGTAGATAATTGGCCGAATGAATGAACTAACACAAATAACAATTTGAATATGAGATTGGAACTTTTCCTCTTTTTTTCCTTTTTCCTGCATTCATTTCCAATTTCCAACAGCTGATCGAGAAAAGAGAACCAAAATTACAATTCACTACCCAAAGATTAATGATAAGGACCAGTGAACGAGTTAGCGTGAGTACAACCAAAAAGCGAAATCAAAACCCAGCAGTGTCACTGAATTCCTCTTGGATGGCTTCTTCGAGCCAGGCCCTGGAATCGCTCATCGGCTGGGTGCTCAATCTAAATATCAAAATGCAAAACTCCATCTGATTCAATGCGTCGTCACCATCCAGACCCTTCCTTTACCATCTCGGCGATCTCGTCGCCGGAAAAGTCATGCAGACCTACCACGGCAGCGTTTTGTCTTAAGCTCTCCAATGTGCTCACCCCTTTCTCCTTATCCATCAGGAGCTGGAACCCATTGTAGAGCTTCGTGATCAATCCTTCCTTGCCTAACTTGTCGGCCATCACGGCACCAGATCTTCGAATTCCCCCACTCTAGCCGCCATTTCTAGGTTTGGATGTTGATTGGAATGAAGTGGATTGAGAATTGAGAAGTGGTCGATGTTTGAGGAGAAATGGTTGGGGATCGTTTGTTATATAGTTGAGCTGAGAAGGGAAGGGGAAGGAGTTAAAGGAAACTACGGGAGGGAGGGAGGGAAGGAAAGAAAGAAAGGGGAAATTGGAATGGTGGATGACAGAAGAGGGACTGGCAGGCATTAAATGAGTTGGTTGGGTCGGGTCAGGGCCAAAGGGAGTGATTCCTTGGAAGGAGCCGCTAGCGGAGGACCCTACGCTTTCTTCGAAGAAGGAGGTGGAGGACAATTTAGGGATTTCCTCTGGAGGGAAGTTTCATTTTCGGGCGTTCGAAGTTAGCTTCTGGCTCGTATCCAAAGAAAAGAAGTTATATTCTAGCATTCTACTGGTGCGGGTGTCACTGGGAAACCCGGAGAAATGGTCAGAGGAGGAGGGTATTGTTGGAATTTCAGGATGTTGGTAATGTCAAAGGAGAAAGGCTGCACTTTTAAAGGGGAACGGGAAGTCGTCTGGCTGGCTTGGTGCTACATTGAGATGGACCGACACTGATGGTCATCCGTTACGAGCATCTTCAATTCAACCGTTTCTGGTTTCCCGTCGTTTTTACGGTGGTCAATATATCCATGGTCAAAAGCGCAACCACTCAATAAGTTAGTTCCCTTCGTTCTTCATGTCTTTCTTCGTCCAACTTGTGGTGGCTTTCCTTGTCTCCATTATAGTAAGTTATATACAGAATGAAGAAGGGAACTGGGTCAAGTTCCTTTCGATTACATGAAGAGCTAAGTGTTTGCTTATTAGGCAAGAAGGCTACTTATTCCACTCAAGGTGACATATCACAATACAATGTTGGGAAGTGAATCAGGCTTCAAATCAATTATTGGTCAGGCTTATAATTTGAGATGAAAATTTTCTACTCCAGTCAAGTATGTGTTTAGTAATGTTTGTCATGTACTTATTAAGTAAATTGTGGTCTCGTAAGCTATTAATTAAGAATAGCATATTTAAATTTGGCAGTGGTACAATACTGTGTTTGTTAAATACTTGTATTATGCACAATACAATGTTTAGAAGTGTCAATTTGTAAAACAATGCATGTATTGTTTTGTGTAGGTCACACCAACAATCACAAAAAATGATGCATTATACAATCTCAACTAAAAGTTGAGATTGTTGAGATTGTTTCTTTTAGATTTGTGTCCACTTTTTCTTTCCATTTATATCCCTAATATTTTTTGTTTTATACTAAAAGGTGAGGGTAAATGTGACATTTTCCTATAAAGTAACTTTATGCAAATAAATATATAAACTAGAATCTCAACAACCAAACAATGTATTGTCAAAATACATCTATTGTATCTATGCATGTGTTTATATTGTAGTGATTCATTACAATACAACGATTTAACATTCGCAACTTCCAAACGACCCCTCAATGTAATCTAGATGTTATCATTTTCATATTATCACAAGATCCACTCTTAGAATTTGTAACACGAGAATAAAAAAAGTAAAGAATAATCTTTTTATTATAAATATACCTGATAATTACTAACCTAATAACCTCCAAATTGACTGAATGTATATATAAAATTATTGTATTAGAAGAACCCCAACAAAGACAATTATTTAGCTAGAGAATTATAGTAGTGACATGTGGAAATCTCAAACTTGCCCTTTCATTTTGGAATCATAACTCTCAATTCCAAGCCCTCGTGACATGGGAGGTTTCAAAAGTTGAATAACCCATCAACTTGTTTCCTGATTCCAGACTGTATGTTTCATCTCTATCCTTTAACTCACAATCTTGCTCACTACTCACTAGTCACTAGAAAGGAAGCCTCGATTAAAGATTAAACAGCTTGGCTCCCTGCTCTTAATATATAAAAAGCTTCATTAATAAGCTGGCCATATCACAGCCTGCAGAGTTCCCAATCCCAGCAACACTGGAATCTGCTAGCTAGGCCACATGTTTCTGTTTCAGTTGTTGGCATATCTGGTGGTGTTCATGCAACCAAATCCCACATCAAAGAGGAATCAGAAACATTGTCTCCCTCCATTACTACAAAGAAATCAAATAAACATTTCAAGAACCCATTAATTGATTGACTAATTAACAGCAACTCTCAGTTTGTAAAATGTGTCACTATCTTCCCTCTTCCAGAGTGACAGTGAGAGCATTGTTGGAGCAAGTCCCCGGTTTACTAGAAGAGGAACCCCTACTTGAAGAGCCTCTCCTCACGACAAAAGCAGGCTGTTTAGGGTTCTGAAGCGAAGTCGTTTCGCTGCTTCCGAGCATGGAAAGGACATTGGACACTGTGGGACGGTCACCTGGGTCTTCCTGCACACATAGCAGGCCAATGTTTATGCACTTGATCACAGCCTCATTTGTTCTGTTGCAGCTTCTATTCAGTGACTTGTCCAGCAGATGCAGTGCATTTTCTTCTTTCCACAGATTCCATGCCTGATATATTGGGAAATAAAGAGAAAGACCCATTTTTTTAGCTTGGCCTTGTCAGTGGTAATTTACTATGTCTAAAAGGCTCAAAAAGAAGTTACTTACATGGCCTAATAGGCTCAAGGACTGTTCAGGCTGATAGAAACCAGTGTTCCTTTTCCCACTGATAATCTCCAGCACCACCACTCCAAAGCTGAAGACATCGGATTTGAACGAAAACAAACCATCCATTGCATATTCGGGAGCAATGTAGCCGCTGCAATCACCATATATACATAACCATCAAGCCAATGATTCCTCACGGAAATGGAGAACACAGAAGTTATGCTATCTTACTATGTGCCAACGACCCTGTTAGTATTTGCAGCAGTTTCTTTGCCACCGAAAATTCTAGCCAACCCAAAGTCAGAAATCTTAGGGTTCATCTCCTCATCCAAAAGAATGTTGCTGGTCTTCAGATCTCTGTGGATTATCCTCAACCTAGAGTCCTGGTGAAGGTAAAGAAGCCCTCTTGCTATCCCAAGTACAATGTTGTACCTTTTCTCCCAGTCCAAAACCATCCTAGGCTGTTTACCTACTAGTTTCATTAGACAAGATGGTAACTTTAGTGATTTGGATGGAGGGAAACAGAAGGGAGAGGAAATAGGTTTGTGGAGGACTGACCAAATATGAAGGAGTCCAGACTTTTATTTGGCATGTATTCATATAGCAGAATCTTTTCATCTCCTTCAACACAGTAACCCAATAGCCTTACTAGATTCCTGTGCTGAAGTTTTGCAATCAAGACAACCTCGTTTTTGAACTCATTCAAGCCTTGACTTGAACATCTTGATAACCTTTTGACTGCTATTTCTTCTCCTCCTGGAAACTTGGCCTGAAAGTGGAGTACCATGGACTAGGAATCTGTCAGGAAAAATTTTCAGAAAAATTTATATTCACTAAATTTGTTTTGTACCTTGTAAACAGGTCCAAATCCACCCTGCCCGAGCTTGTTTGCATTTGAGAAGTTATCTGTAGCTGTTAGTATGGCTTCCAGCTCAAAAAATGGGACTTCTATAGCTTTGGTATCTTCATCACTAAATCGAGCTGAGTCGATTATCTCTTTCGCAAACCTCTTGCTTCCATACAAATGAAGACCTCCTCTTTTTCCTGAAGCCATCGATCGAGTCAATTCTCCTTATAAAGATTCCATTTATCTAAACAGAAATTGGTTACTAATTGTTCATGGTTATGAATTTACCTTCTACCTTGGGTGGTAGCCTTCTTCTATGTAGAAACAAGCAAATCAATATGCTTGCCAGCATGACCAAAACAAAGAAACTAATGAGCCCCAATGTGATGATCAAAGAAATCGAAATCTTCCCCACTGAACCCCTTTCTGTTTGCTTTCCGTTTCCCTCTTCTGCAAGTCAAAAAAGAAAAGTAAAGCAATGTCAATTCCTTTCACCTAGTACAAACTGAAGCACTCATAAGTCGTACCTTGATTGCAGTTTAATTTCAATCCATCCCATACAAAGTTTTTTCCACAGAGGCATCTTTTCTTTCCATCTCTTGTCTCATTACAGCCTGAATTTGGCCAATCCTTGCAGTCAATGGAAGTAGAACAAATTGGCTCAAGTGGTGGTTCCCAACCTATCTCCACTTCATCTGCACTTTTGAATGATCCCGCGGAACTCAAGTTCCCCATATCAGCATTGCACATTCTCATCACATGAAATGGAGATGAGTGGTCGAGCTTCAAAACCTTGCAACTCTCTGGATCATCTGTTTGGATGACGAAACTGTGATCTTCTGGATCGATCCTCGTAACTCTGTATGTACTTGCCCCTACCTGAAACCTGACTTGTCCTGCAGTTATGTTGCAATGGAACTTAGAGTACATTGTATCCCCACATTTCTCTCCTGTGCTAAGTGGATAAGGTATCATACTTGTGCCGCAAGGTTCACAACTCCTTTCTTTAAACCACACGTCAGAAGATGAAACACGAAAATTCAAGCTGCGGCCACCATCATACTCCTCTTGTACATCGGTGAGATCCTGCAACCAAATCATGCAGTTGGAACCAATTCCTACAGATTCGCCCTTTGGAACGATTCCTAGTTCCTCATAAGAGTAAGCTTGACATTGACAATTGCCAAGGCACTCCATCTTACATTCCTTCTCATCTTCAGCCTTGAACTGAGAATCTGGACTCCCAACCTTCATCATCTCCAACTTCAAGAACACTTCGCTTGAACCATTCTTGCACAACTCCGTCTTCCTACTACACCCTCCTGAGTAATCTCCAGATTTCCAGTACTCTAAAGAAACCGGCTGAAACCCTGGCAAGCACTTACAAGCAAATTCATTGTTTCCATTACAGCTACCAAAATTCCCACAGGCATTGTACTTGCCACATTTAGCCCTCGGCTCTCCCCACACCATGGACCAAGTCTTGGCACTATTCACCATCAGATACTGAACCTGGCCCGAGAA